CACCCCTCGCGATGCTCGTACTTTCTGTAGGCCAGCTCCGCCTTGGAGTAGTAGCCTGGCCAGCAAGCGTCGCGTAACTTACTTCTACGCACCATTTGACCCTCGGGCACCATGTCAACTTGGTTCTCCCGGCGGTATTTCGCGACAGCTTTGGCAATCGGATACAAGGGCCGACCGATGGATTTCGAATCCTCCATTAACTGGACTGCTCCCTCGAAGAAGTTAACATCGTCCTTCAGATGGGGATCTTCATCGCAAGCAGTAATGCGCATTAGCTCCTCTTGACGCTGTTCCAGGAATTCTTTGCGCTGGCCGTGCAGAATATCGCGCAGTTCGGCGGTTACGTTATCCTGTTGCTTCTTAGCGGCAGTCGCAAAATTTATGTTTGCGTCATCGTTCTTGAATCGTGAAGCGATCTGGTAGCGACGAATCTCTGCAAGCCTTTCATCTTTCTCTTGCTGCCGTTTTTGACTCTCCAACTCGTACTGCCTGCGTTGCTCCGACAGCTTCTTGAGCTCACATTTCCGCCGTTGCTCATCAATGAGTATTTCGGTATCATAGCGTTCCACAGCTATGTCCTGCAAATGTTGCAGCTGTGTTTTTGTGGCCTGCTGGTTCTGGCAGAGCTTAACAGCGTTTGCCTCCAGCTGACGGATGCGGGTCTGGCGCATATCCTTCGTTTGCTTGTTGAAGCGTGCATCTATATTTCGATGTGTTGTCTTATCGACGCAGATAATTCGTTCCTCGATATTATCACACATGCTCTCGACTATGGATTGGATTGTAGTTGGATCAAAAGGCTTATAAAATCGACTAATTTTAACTTACACTTGGCTTTCTCGGCCTTTTCCTTGAGAGCCTCACGATAGGCACTTCGGCAAAACTCGCGCTTCCTTTCTGCCGTCGCCTTGGCGGCTTTCTCCTCCTGCTCCTGCATGCACCTGTACTTCTCGCGCTGTACAATGCAGTCTAATACCTCGTGCTGCTTCTGAGCCTGTTTGCGCAGACGTCTTGCTTCGAGGTCCTTCAAGTAATAAGCGCGCATGTCGTTCATCTTGACGAGCTGCTGTGCCTTCTCCTGCTCCTCAGTCACATCGCCAAATGGTATCAAAATCTCTGGACACTGCTTCTCGTCCAGTTGCTGCTGGCGTCGAGCATCCTCGGCAAATTCACACTTGAGCGCTTGATTGTAGTCGCGTTGGTAAATCATTTCGCTGTTGAGTAAGCCCTGGTGGAGAGCACGTGGACCTGGCTTCAAGAGGTTCAAAATTCGATTGGCACGCATGATGCGCTCCTTGCGCATCTGTTCCAGCAGCTTCTTTGCCTTTTGATCCTTCGTCAAGTCAGCCAGGGCCTTGTCTCTGGAAGCCTGACGCTGGTCATCGTCCTCGCCCTGCGTATTAGCCAAGTTTTTGAAACGCTTCATCAAGGCATCGTTACCATCTTTGAGGTATTGCTTGTACCGTTGCTCCTCCTCAATGGCCTCCAGCATCTCCTGCTTTTCCTTCTGGTTTGATCTGTCTACAATACCGTTGTAGCGATCGGCCGATATTACCACGGGCCGAAAACCAATGTGATATCTTTTGTACTCCTTGTGGCCGGGCTCTGCAGCGCATGCCCTGTTCAATTTCATTGCGAAGCCGTGAAGGATAGTGTATTGTGGAATGTAAGTTGTGGGAACACCGCAAATTGCAATAATTCCCAAAAGTAATTACAATAATTCTATTGTGTTAGTGTGTAGTGTATTTTTGTGTATTTTTTTGTATTTTTACTGTTTAAGTTATACTACTCTTTTGTGTCATGGATTACTGTTTGAAGGTATTAAGTTGCCCTAACATATAAATAGGTCTTTGATAGGAACAAAACTATAGAAAATATTTTATTACTAATATCCAGTAATAGTAAATATCCAGTAAATTGTTGTAGCTGCTAATTTTGTTTTTGCAAAACTTAAGTAGTTTTTAATTTAATACCCTTGTTAAAATTTCCTTTTGCTGATATATGAAAAAAGTGCAGCTCGAAAATACTGAGTTTGCTAAAAGTAACTATCTTTATAAAATCAGCTAGATTATATATTGGTTCGATGTTGATAGGGTTCTGCATACGTGTAGAGAGCCTTATAAATGCCGAATTTGGCTAAGATATCCGTATAAGCAAAATGGTCCGATCCGGCCGGTGCCAACATATGTACTGAAATCGACTGTTAATGCTGAATATATTTACTTTATGGAGTCGGAGATGTATCCATTTACCAGGGTATCAAGAAAAATGTATATACATATATATACTTTTAAATATATATATTTATATATTTATATTATCTGAAAACCTTTAAAAATAATATATATGTATATCAGGATCTTACCAAAACTATTTGGCCAAGAAATGTTGATTTATCCTTTAAAATTACTTTAAATGTTCAATGTTTCAGAAAAGTAAGAGAAAAGAAAAGGAGAGCGTTTACCTTTGGATTATCTTGCCCATTCACATGTTTGTCCCCAGAATTGGATAAGCCTCAATTAGTGTTTTAGGCTGCTTAATCAAATTAGGCAAAGCCCTTGTGGCATGTACAATTCCAATTGAGCAGGGGCGTCCAGTCAGTGACCGTGTGCTGTGAAATCCAATTCCCAGCTGGCGGAAAATTATACAAAAACAAAAAAACACAAAATAAAAAGAAGACTCAAATGGAGGCAAAAGAAAAACACAGTCGGCCAGAGTAAAGTTGACTTTCATGCGAAAAGTTTTTTGTGAAAATCGCTGGGCGTGAGAATTTCTGCGCTCAGAATGTCGGGCTCGGGCCCTTCTCGTGGGGTGCGTGGAGAAGTGGGTGAGGTCGGTGGCTTCTTTCGGCGGTGGGCGTGCCAAACACCGGCGATTATTGTTACAAAACGCAGCGGGCCGTGTAATTTTTTGGCATGGAGCACGCACTGGGACTCAAAAATGGAAATTCAAACTCGAATTCACATCTGAATCTGAATTCAGTTTGAGATTCAAATTGCCCAAAGAAACCGCCGTCGTTGCGAACTTTTCCATGGCTACTGGGACTTCTATGCTCCCTGTTGTAGGCGCAGGGGGCGTGGCATGCGGTAGATATGAGCGTCATTGTGTCTGCCTTCTGGCTGCTGAAAATTGTTTTGTGAAAATTAGTTTTTAAACTTTTCTCGCTCTTTTGACATCGTTTTTATTTTTGGGTTGCCATTTTGTATGGGAAATGAAAATCTAAGCGCAATGTGCGAAATTAATTTGCATTTTGGTTTGGTTCACGTTATCATTTTATTCCCGTTTTGGGGGGGCCAATAAAAATCAAATTTAAATAATTTTTAATTTATTTAGCTTTACTTTTACGTTTAATTTTTCTTTTTTGAATGTGTACAATTCGAATTCGCGCTGGCTCGTTTCGATGTAATTGCTTTCAAATGGTAGAGCAAATGCGGTGCATTGGGAAAAACTTTTTCGCCTTGATAATTTGTATGTCCATTTTGACCGCTGATGATGTTGAAATCCGCATCACTAACAGATCTGACTAGAAAAAAAACTAGACGAGAGCGCGTTGAAAATAAATTAGAATAAAATATGTTTTCTTTAATAAATAATAAAATTGTGATTTGTCTGCGGACAGGCACGATAGAAACACCATGCAGAAAATGTATTATTATTATATTTATTTAATCTTTATTGCATTTAAATCCATTTCACAACTTATGTTATGACATATTTTTGTTGTTATACAGTATTTCGCACAGTATATGGTATTGCATGTATTTGTATTTGAAATATTTTCTCGTCTAAACTAAAATTGTCTTAAGCTTTAAAGTTATTTGTTTGCATTTAACTATTGCTTTTTAGCTACAAATGATGAGTCACTTTAATTTTCAAATACATACCATAAACTCACATAAATTCATGACAATCACAAAGTTAGGATTTGATTTTGTTTTTCATTTGACATTGTGCAATTTTGTTTTCTGATTGATTTGATTGTTGCTTTGAAGTGAAAGAACAAGTACTTTATATGTATAAGCACAACGTTTTAGAACCATCAACATTTATATGAACTGCAATATGCGTAATATATATATTGTTGAATTTAGAACAACTGACAGAAAACAGATCGATTAAAAGAATCGTAGGAGTTTATAGCTTCTTCAGATTCACAATTAAGTAATAAGTTAGCTAAATGTCTGGCCATTTGGAAGAAGGAAGTCTACCATCTCTATTAATAAAAATTCTCAATGTTCTTACACAACTTATTTGTCTAATACCATAGATTACTGCAATTCGGGCAATAATATACGAAGTTGCCTACTAAACTACGATTAGATTAACAATCAAACCGAATGGAAAGTGTAAAAGTGTTTGATTTGCCTTTGCCACACATTACAACATACCTATTTTTACCTACTAGATTATAATATATTTGTTTTGATAATACACACACCTTTGACACACATTAATCTGTTTTAGCTTTGAAGCTCGCTTATGGTAAAAATCTATCACAAACATACATAAAATGAACACTTATAATGCTTAAAACTGGCGCATCAATTGTTTACGCCTAATGCAATTAGATTGAGATTGAAGTTACTTAAAGCTGATGAAATATTAAAAGCATTTGTATTATCCACATAATTTCTTTATTCAGGTTGGAAATTGAAATTAAAGATGAAATTAGTTCTCAAGAACAGAAAAGTCAAAGTCACTTGTAATTGTATATAAAATGTTTTAAAACATAAAAAAATTAGATTTCGATTTTTCTGACAAAGGTTTTTGCATAATTTAGCCAAGATGTATATTTGTGTTGCAAGAATTTAAATTTTGTATAAAAGAAATTGCATCAAATAATATGTTAGTCAATGTCAATTTCTTTTTGATAGTAAAAATATTATCTCAAAGTGCAAATTTCAATTTATTTAAAAAATTCAAATTGAATTCAGAGATTCGAAACCGTAGAACAACTACAAATAAATGCTTTAATTTAAACTTCAAACAGTACAAACAGATTGTTAACTGATTCGTTGCTATAGAGAGGGCTACAACTTTTCAAGTTTTATTTAACGCTAAAAGACTTGCGCAATATTTAGACAGACACACACACACTTACGCATACATTTACAGCTACGATGCGTACACGTTCACGGTTCGACCGCAGCAGATAAAATAATGCTAAATATCCTTTTACTTGCGATACTCGGCCATGGACTCGCCCGCCAGCGCCAAAGACGGCGGTGGACTGTGACAGGCGACGCGCACGCGGCTCAGGCGCAGGCTGCCCGTGTGATGGGCGCCGTGGGGAGCGTGGAGCATGGCCCGGGCCTGTGCCTGCTGGTGCAGCGGGTGGTGGGCGCACTTGGCCTGTCGGGCCAGTTGATTGTTGGCGAGTATGACGTCCTCTGCGTACTAAATGTCCGGTATGCTGCGACTGGCGGCCAGTTTGGCGGCTACAGTTGAGACGGAAGCTGATGCGGCTGCATCTGCGGCAGTGCCGAGCAGCTTGCTCTTGGCGCAATTGGCATCATGGAATAGATGCTCACAGAGCTTTGGCTCTGATGTAGAAAATTTACTTAGCTCGGCGGCGGTGGCTTCCTGTGCAGCGGCAGACACGTTCAAATGCATGTCGCTGTGCTTGCTAAACGAGGTGGTTTGATGCTGTTGCGGCTGATGCACCTGATGCACATGTCCATGAACGCCCACGCCGGTGTGCTGATGATAGGGGAAGTGCGGGAAACTCTTCTGCATGGCATGCAGGTTGCCCGAGCTGACGGTGCGCTCCAAGATCTCGCCCCAATACTTCTCCGAGAGACCCTCAATGTCAGGCCGTACAGTGGCATAGCCATCGCCAGCAACCTGATGTGCGTGACTGTGCGCTCCACTGCCGCCCAGTGTGCCCCTGATGTACTGCGAGGCGCTGCGGCTCAAACTGTTGGCTCTGGAACGTGCACAAATGCCAAGCACAGAACCGCCAATGGCGCTGCCAATGCCACCGCCAACACCGCCGCCAACCCCGCCACTGGCACCACCATTGTTCGCCGGCGGCCGCGAGGCGGGCGGCTCTGGCGGCAATGGAAGCGTTGTGATTTCAAAATCGTTAGCATTGATGTGACAACAGGCTGATTTGTGTTCGGGCGTGTCCTCGCTAGGAAAGCACTGAAACGAGCACAAAGTAGAAGCATCATAAATGTGGTCTAAATTTCGAAATTAATAAGCATTTCAAATTCGCATTTTTTACAGATAGTCCAGTCGTATAACTGAGGCCAACAATCGGGCAGCTCGTGACTCGTGACACGAATAACGTCATTTCGCCACAAGCGATATTTTTTCAAATTTGCAAGCTAATTTTTATACCCTGAACCCATTAAAAATGGGTATAAGGGTATATTGTATTTGTGCGAAAGCTAAATGTATGTAACAGGCAGAAGGAAGCATCTCAGACCCCATAAAGTATATATATTCTTGATCAGCATCAATAGCCGAGTCGATCTAGCCATGTCCGTCTGTCTGTCCGTCCGTCCGTCCGTATGTATGAACGCAAGGATCTCAGAACCTATAAGAGCTAGAGACTTGAAATGTTAGATGTAGATGCTCCTAGCTCCCGCGCAGATCGAGTTTGTTTCCGATAATCGATAACTTACTCCGTTTCCAAGCAATCGATAAAAATCGATATCGATATCCTGTTTTTTGGGCAATTTTGGTATATAATAAGAGCTAGAGTCACCAAACTTGACATATAGCTTCTAAAATAAAATATATATATGCATTTGATGTTGGAAGAAGAGGGTTCAGGGTATCCCCTAGTCGGGAGCTCCCGACTAGAACCTCTTACTTGTTTTTATATTGTTGCAGTTCATTTAATAAATAATATTTTTATAGAATGTCTAAATAACATAGTTTTTTCGAAAAATAAAATTATTATTTTAATTATTTATTGAATTAAAATAATAATTTGAACATTTGAAATGTATTCCTTTCAATAAATATATCCAATTTCAAAAAAAAGATGTAAAAAAAAATTATTTATTATTTACTTCACGCTAAACAATATCTGACATTAGCTCATCTCTAGCGCCATAAATTCGTTCAAAATGACCTCAGTTTTGTTTGAGTTTTTCGGAAGTAAATCATGCAACTTGACTGCGCTTTCCAAAATGGATTTGCTAGCCCCATTCCATACTTTTCGCATTCCACCAAAAATAGAGAGGTTTTCATGTTTATATTAGCTATGTGTTGGCAAGGAAAGTGGTAGAATTTAAGGGAGGGGGGGGGGGGGGGGGGGGGGAGTGGGGTGGCCAAGGGCTATGTAAACGCCGCTTTGGATTTTCTCTTTCATAATTCAAAATCACTTTTCACTGTTTGTGATTACAGTTGTTGTTTGTTGGACGCCGAAGCGAATTTCCTGTTGTATGTTGCTTGCACCTTTTGGATTTATGGCCCTTGGGTGGATGGCTCTGTTCGATGGTCCTTGCGTAATTCTGTTTTAGTTTTTGGCATTCTGACAACGCAGCTACATGAAATCCCTCAATATATGCTAGCTGATTTTGAGCAGCTTTTGTGCTCAACTTAACAACTTCAAAAAGGGTTGGGCCAGCTACGAATAATGTGATGTGCCGGTGAATTGAACAATCGTTGGGGAAAAATCTTCTTTCCCCTGGGGTCAGTAAGAGGATAATCAGAACAAATAATGTAACTACAGTGTTTAGTCTTAAAGTGTGCGTAATAAATTATTCAAAATCAATTTGGGGGAGTTTGAGGATGTCTGTAAATTTTTTTAATACAAAGTAACCAACGAAAGGTACACCGAAATAAATTTAAAAACTGGCTTAGTAAGTGGTTTCATGAATTTAATTCAATATTAGCTAATAAGAATTGTGAAAATAAAGGCAAGTTTTCTTTTATTAAAGGCAATCGCGTTTTTGGAGAACAATTTTTGCAAAAATATAATAAGTATCTAGTAGGTCCTTCTTTTTTAACTATGAGCTTCAGTTCATTTTGAAAACCAGACAGGGATAATTAAAAAGAGGAAAATGCCGAGATTTATATACATAGAAATGTTTACAGCATAGCTACGATTCTGTTAGACAGAGCATGAAAAACGTAAAAATGCGAGAAACGAGAAAATGCATGTAAGAAAATAAATAAATACAAACTCACCTTGTTGGGCATCAATTGTCGGCTAAGGCGACGAAAGTCCGAGTTTAGCAGCCAATACATAAAGGGATTCCATAGACTGTTGCTTAACGATGTCCAGGTTACCAGGAAATCCAGAAATGGTGGCAGCTACAAGCATAAAGTGGGTGGTGGGCGTAGAAATGTAGAAGATAAACACACCACAATCAATATATGTTTGTGGCTAACATGGCGTATGCGCAACATAATCGCACAAGCTGATTACGTATGCGACACGTGGGCTGCATATGCATATGAGTACTTGCCTTGGAACCAGTGCAGGCGGTCACAATCTCCTGAATGGTCCACGGTGTGACCATAACAATGAATCCCAGCGAAATGGCCGCCATTGAACGTGACGTGTTGCCGCTTGAGTTCTTCTCCTGTATGGGCACAATCTGCAGCAAATGTACATTATTTAACAAACTAATTAAAAGCACCGCACATAAAATGTCATAGTAAAAACAACTAATTGGGGTATACCAAATATTGCGGCAACGGGAATATATCGAAGTACATTTTTAATTTAATTGTGGAAAATTTGATATGAATATTGTTGTAATTTGATTAAGTTAAGCTTTTAATGTGCCAAATATAATTAATATAAAATGTACATGTGAAATGTGAATACATTTATTCAAAAATATTCGAAATAAGCTTATTGTGAATATTAGAAAAATAAATCAAACGTTATTTTGAGCTTATCTTAAGCTTTTTGAAGCTAAGCAAGGGTTTATTCTTTATTATATATTGAAATTTATTTATGTTTTCAAATATACTTTTTAAAATTATACCAGCATGAAGGTAATTTTTCTCTGGCAGAGAATGTATAGTATACATATATTTAAGTATTAAAAGCGTTAAATTGTGGAACAAGTCTAGGCCTGCCGTCGGACTAATTGAAATTTCAATATAGGTAACCACGTATAGACCCCGACTCACCTTTTTGGTAATCTTGTTTGTCATGCTTGGCATTCCGACGAGGCCCATGCTCATGGCCATGCTCAAATGGTTCATAACCGGTGCCCGATGATGATGCAAATGATGCGAGTGTCCATGACCGCCATGTCCAAATATGTGTGAGGATTGCTGCTGCTGCTGCTGCTGATGCTGATGCTGCTGCTGCTGATGCTGCTGATGCTGATGTTGCTGCAGTTGCTGTTGGGGCGGATGATGCGGATGTGGATGATGTGCGGCTGCTGTAAGCGGCATCGTTGGATCGTTTAAGCGAAAGCGACTCATATGAAAGCTGGAACCGTAACAGTACATCAGCACCATCGTGGTTGGAAAGTACAATGCACAAGTAGACAGTATGCGGTACGAGGGTTTACTATAAAAAGGCTCGCATGCCATAAGCCCCGTATTGTTGAAGTAGTATCCTATTTGGATGGATATGCAAATAGATAAACGCCAAATGAGCAGCTGTTTTCAGTATTCGAAGGGCAGGTGTAAATGGGTGTGTGAGTGACTGAACTCACCTTTAGGCAGCACCAGAAGCCCAAACACCGTTAGGCTGATAATCCATGTTAAGCTCAATATGGCAACACAGCCCTGCAAGACACACACACACACATAAGATACATTTGACTTTCGCTTAGATGGTATGGTTAGAGTTAGATTTAATTTGCCATCTAAGTTAGCCATTGCCACATACTCAGGGACAGGCACAGCTCCCACCTCCTCTGACGCTGCTCTTTCAGCTGACTCCAGCTGGTTGTGTGATTTATGGCTGGTGAGGAATTATGTGCACGTTTCTGATTTTAAGTCGTTTTGATGCGCAACATTGCAGCTGCACGTTCTAGTCCATTTGTAATTACCCAACAAAAGACAATTTTGTAAATGGCTTAAGCGTGTGTGGTCAATAGATCATCTACAATAATGGCGCACATGAAAAATGTGTCGCTTTGTGACATCAAATTAAAATTTCTTTTGACTTGAATTGGCTTGCCTCAAACAGAAGGAGTCAAGTTAATTGTGATCAGACATAAAGCGATTTTAGAACATATTAAACTCACCTTTTCTCAACCGTTAGGGAAGCAATTCGTAGGTTTTAAAAGGAATAGATTATTTCTCACTGGTTCTTAGTTTTGGTGAGATCTTTCGTGATTGTTCTAGAGACAATTTTGAATTGAGTTTTCTAAACAAAACTTAAGATTTAATATCCAGACATTATGTCAGATTTAACATTTTTTTATGTGTTAAATTTTTAAATTGATAAATTTTAATTCTAAGCTGACAAACAAGTCATAATATAGACAAAGGGTAATACTAGTATAATTATTATCAATGCGAACTATTTCAAAGTTATTTTGATTATCAGTGTGAACTAGTTACAGATAAACTCATAGCATCGGCTGCTACTACCATTTAATATACTAGTTCGTTGCGAACAAGTTAACAGACTGAAGGCTGGCTTACAAATCTCACTTATTAGCACTTATCGCTGGCTGAATTATTCTCTTTGAGATAAAAGCTCTTTGAAAATCATCTTCCAGTTCATCACCCTTAAAGCTCTGAGTTCTCACTCAGCTGAAACTATCGCATATAGTTGCGTACAGAGCTATGTTTACTAATGAAACCTTAAAACAAAGTTGTATGCCAAAGTGTTTTTGCCTTGAAACATTGCCTATGGCAAACAACATCAAACGCCGAGAGAAGCAGGAGGGTAACCTTCAACAAATAAATATATATTTTCTAAAAAAGGGCAACAGCAAATGGAATTAAAAACTTTTGATTACGTTGAAAACAGTTGGGCAGAGGCCAACCACAGGCGGCACACAAAATGAAACATTTGTGAAAGGCTGCCACAATCATAACTGACTGACTAACTGACAAACTGACTGACTGGCAGGCCAAACAGCTGGCAGCTGAATGGCAGCCGAAATGAGAACATTTCGCAGCACTTCGAGCCTTTCAACAAGCCGACAATGCGAAAAGGTTGTCGGCACAGTGCAAAGTACTCAAAAACTAGCTACTACTTATTTCACTTTACGCCAACATCTTTTTTTGTTTATTTAATTTACGCTATTATTTTGTTTGAAACGTTTTCCTCTAGCGCTTACTCCCTATTAAAATTATTTTGATATTTTTGCAGTTAGCTAAGCTACTTAGTTTAAAAATGAGCGAAAAACTATGGATTTACTAACCATGTTGTTGATAGACAAACAAAGCCACATCCAGTTAAGAATTTTACCAAAAACATAAAGGATTTCAATTAATCTCCGCTCTTTCAAAAACTTTTTATTACCATAAATGAAACAACATCATTTTCGCGCTTACTTCGAGAAATGAGTTGCAATTTATGGGAAGTTTCAATAAAAACACGACAAAAGCTGAAAAGTTGAAAATTTTCAATGGGCCATTACAAGGCGAAAACTGGGCCAACAAATTGCGTGGCCCGAATGTCAGTCGCCTCGGCTGGCGGCGTCAGCAGCCATTTATTAATTTTCGACAGTGCACACTTTATTACAAATCGGGCGTGGCTGTGCGCCAATTTCGCAGACTCCAGTCAAAAATTGCATAGCTATACTGAAGCAAAAACGCCAAAGCAAAAAAAAAAAAAAAAAAGGAAACAGGCGGCATCCCAATTTTATGCAAATATTTTCAACTAATATTTTTTCTCGCATTTTGCATTTTTTGCCTTCGCGTTTTTTATGCTTCTGCTGCGCCCTGTTCTACCATTAACTTTGGCACTTGTGGGCCTTTCAAAATACGCATGTGCATATAAATTTTGTTGCGGGCATTTACTGAAATTGCGCAATACTCTGGCTGTTGCTCTTACGGAGTGCGTACGTTACAGGGACAAACGTACTACATAAATATTAACTTGGCATCTTAATGGCTGACTGCATATTTTGTAATAATAATGGTAAATAAAAGGTTCTTATGATAAAAATAAGCAATAGTAGTTTGACATTTTCCAAAAGTTGCAATTGTAACAAGTTTTCGCAACAATTGTTCAGACTTGGAGCATTTTTTATCAAGTAAATTGGCAGACGGACGGACCTGGTCACAGCGAAGGAGCTTCAAAGGCGACATTTCATCCTGTTCCTGTCAAAGCTAACTTCGATTTTCATTTCTTGTCGAGCTCAAGGAAAGTAAAGTTTTTGGCTAGTTAGAAGTGCAGCGTTGCCACCTTGCAAAAAATTGGAGCGAAACGCAGCGTGAGAAAAATAAAAACAGATTCCGATTGACAGTTTAATGCAAGTGCAACAAAAATATGTGACCGTTTCGCCTTGTGATTGTTGAATTAAAAACAATTTTAATAAGAAATTTAAATAAATTAAAAATAAATTTGAAAAATGTGCAGGTCCATCATGTAACAAATGTAAATTATAAATAATTACAGCTTATACTATAAATAATATTATTTAAATTAAATATTTTTGAGTCTCTCGTCTAATGAGAATGTTTTGTAATTAGGAATTGCATTTAATCGATGTACAAAATAAATATATAAAATGCAGCGTCTTATTTACTTATGCTTGAACCTTTGCTTAAGCGAATTGATATATTTTGAGTTTAATTTAAGGTACGGCTTGATATTCGTAATGTTAATATCCATTTGCATATTTAAACACAAATCATAAAGGCAACGCTGCCCGGACCACCGGACGGACTTCTCACCCGTTTTGTAAATGATACGCGACGTTTCGCTGTCCAAGCCCAAAAATTATTTCTTTCCACTTCCGCAGATACATTTTTCTTGTTTTTTTTTCTTCTCCCTCCCATTCGCTTTTTCTTATGCTCGGGCTAGCCTTCATTTTTGGGCGGCTGCGTAACTGTTTGTTGCCTCATAAATTATGATGTGAGAGCGTCTGCGTGTGTGTACGTGTGAGTGTGTGAAAGAGATAGAGAGAGAGAAGGGGAGACCAACTGGCAGCCATTGCTCGTTTGCCGCGCCCTGCGTTCCGCCTGCGGTTGGCGTGGTCGTCGCCGCTTCAGGCGCCCTCGTTCCCTTGGTCCTTGGTCGTTGGTCCAGGGTTAGGTCTATGCTGTGGTCTACGTATTTAGTCAAAGTCAAACATTAAAAAAAACGTAGGAGAATACGAAAATCCCAGCTAGCTTTTTTTTATCCCTATTTTATACACTTTTCGACTGTTTATGCTGTGTTTTATTTCTGCTTGCTTTGCTTTTTCATTCTTCGTCTGTTGGCGCTTTGTTTTATGCTGCGTGTTTTGTATGCAGCATTTTAATGACTGCCAAAGAGCTTAAAGCCCATTATCCTTATTTATCTCTGCGTAATTGGCTCATAGATGAGTTGTTGTTGTTGTTGTTGCTGCCAACTAAATTTTATTGGCGCGTGATTTCTTTTTAGTTCCCCATACGCTTTGTTTGTTGCCTTTGTCCTTTGTGATAAATTCTTATCTTAACTTGTCCCACAGCTAATCGCGGCTGACAACGTGCCTTATCTGCCTTGCCGCGCATTAGTGGGAATTACAGAGTGTGTTATGCCAGAGCGAAAATTATGCAACACGCGCTCAGCCATCGCTCATCGCCCACCTCGCCCCCTTGCCGCCTTGCTGACCACCGTCTGATCCACTTACCTTCTTGCTGGAGTGTTGGTAATAGCGTCGCGGATGCAGCGCACACATGTATCTGTCCACCGCCATACAGACGAGTATAACGGCGCTTTGTTGTGATAAAGCTCCACGTAGCAGGGCCTGGTGAGAAGTCAGTAGGTGTGGACGGTAACATGGAAGGATATGCCGGATAAAAATTTGAGTAAGTTAGCCGGCACATAATTTAATATTTTCTTTGATTTCCTCTTTTTAAGATAAAGATTCTTTTTTTTCATTTGGCTTATATTTAAATTTCATATTTAATAATTTCAATATAACAAGTAAAACCCGTAAGTTTGGGTTTTTTATGCATTACAAGCTAATCAAAGATTTTAATTTTAATATTCAATTAAAATTAGCTCTGATCAATGTTGCATGGTTTTAGATTTTAGGACTTTCTGCTTTTTAATACAACATATTTAATAAAGAGCTCAATAAATTAATACATTTTTTGTTGAAAAAGACTTTTATGTATTTTGTTTCAGCTGGAAACAATGCTTAATCTAATTCAACCGGGTTCTTTATTTAGTTTTTGTATTTGTAATTGTGCTTAATCTCGAACCATTTAATGTTGGTTAGCCATTGTAAATAATACAACTTTATAATTAAGTGCATTGTTTTAGCTAGACAAAAGTATATTGGTCGTCCATTTAGTTGACCCGGTTGTCGTGTGAACTAAACAAAAGGCTCTTTGTCTGGTAACATTAGATTAATTGAGCTACATACGATAGCTTAATTGGCAACAATAAGCCAGTGACTGGCGCCCGTACTCACCTGTATCTGGCAGAAGATCTCACCATATGGCCAGCAGTGAAACAATGCAGGCATTAGACCAAATGGTGTAATTAGCAGGCCAATTGTCAGGTCATTCAGCGCCAGAGATGTGAGCAGATATCGTGGCTAAAAGCAGCGTCCACTTAGCAGTTAGTTTGTTGTTGCTTCCTGCCGACTCACCTGTTGATGTATGTAGGCGGCGTAGCGGCGATTGTTAATGACAAAGATGACCAGGCAGTTGGCCCCAATCACACCCAGAGTTAGCACCAATATCAACACCGCCTCAATGGTCTCCGCTATGCCAATGTGCACGATAAAGTTGTGGCCCGAGTAACGCGGATGAGAGCAACTGGAATTCTTAACCGCGGGCGCTACAAGCAATGAGCCAGTCTTCAGGTCCATTGCGATGCTCTAATTAAATCGTTTAATAAGTAGGGAAATATTATTTTTCATCTGATTGTTCAAGTCAGATACTAAGTAAATAAACATCACAGGACACTGTGTGAGTTATTTGAACAGAAAATGTGAATTCTATATTTATTCGAGGCATTTACGCTTAATATCACAATTTATTTGTTAATAACTATCGACTATTATTCAAAAAATAAAATAAGCATTGAAGTGAAAAACGGGTTCTGTCCTAATTAGCAATTAAAATGCTCTATTAAAAATTGCCACTGTCATTAAATTCTTTAGTTTTTAAGAAGAAGCAGTTAGATAAAGAAATGTTTGTTTAATTAATTTAAAGAAGTAACTGAATGAGCAACTCGCCTAGTTAGCTTTGATTGTCTGTTTGCCTTTTGTTGGCCGAAAAGGCAGCGCTGGCAGTTTGGTCGTTAGCGCTGCATTTGCGGTCAGAGCGCTGACGTCGTTTCCGGTTCCGTTTACCATGTGGAAATATGCAAAATGGCGACAATTTGTTACGCCATAATCAAGTCAAAACATGCGAAAGCGACGCCGCGTTGACAATTTATCAGCAGAACGGGATTGTGGAGGAGAAAAATCGCATCAAAATGATAAAAAAAACTCAAAGAGTAGAAGAAACAATACAAGTGAAAGACATTGTGGAAGAGAGAGGGAGGGCGGGGGAAAGATTGCCAATATGGCGGCATATCCGGCTCAGCCAAAATAACGCGCTGGCATAATGAACCTTTACAGGATAATTGGATGATTTTGCGTGTTTTTTGTGGCTCGTCTGGTTTTTGAGTGCTTTCACTCGCGATAAATCAAATCCACAGCCGGCCCGACGTTGATGTCTTTGTCTCTTCTCTCTGCTCCCATCTCTGACATTGAGAAATGTTTAAGAGTAGAGTAGAGGAACATAACCGAATACTTATTTGCTTTAAAGAGTTTTACTGTGGAAAAAACGTTCCTAGACACCGCCCTTTGTCATTTATATTTTTTGTCTCCTAGCGACGTTCTTTTATTAGGTTTGGCTATGCTTACAATGTCATATCCCAGAGAGCTCTGCGTCTGTGATTTATCGTGGTCGTCTGAGCGATGCTGTGTTTATGCTAAGTCCACAAATCACCGCATGAAATATAACCAAACTGCAAAACATTAAGCCCAATAGTCCAGTGTATTAGATTTACTACCGCAAAAGACTGTAAGGCATGTGATTAGATCGTCTGGCAGTTGCACAGAATGCGAGATATTCAAGAAGGGCCTGACAGTTTAATCACTCAATATTCAAATGAAGCTTGCATACACTGAGAGAACACATTCTGGTCCTATACAACTATATTTGAAACTATCTTATCACACTGATAACTCTAATGTAATGCTATTTCAGCTTAGACCCAGATAAACAAAAATTTTACCATAAATATTTTCCAGAAGCAATGGATAGCGATCCGCAAAATTACTGGAATACTGGAATAGTTAAACAATTGAAAACGGCAATTCAAAGAGTCATTTTGCAGTGCCACAAATATCCATTGGCATGATGCAATTCAAAGTTTCTGCCAGTTAAACCTGATAGCCATTGAATGCGGCACTAATAAACCGATAGACAATTGAACTGGGATAGATAGAGCACTGCGGATTGTCCACAATGTGCTTGCCAAAAACCAATTCAATTTTCAAGTAATGAAAAGAGGAAATTCGCTTAATTCCACGTATTGTTAAGTCGGTCCAAAGCGTAACCGAAACAGAACCAGCTACACCGAAACAGTAACACGGCCAGAAGCCCAAACCGAACAGAAGCAGAAAATGGAGTAACTGCAGCATTGGCAAGTGCCCGGATTACAGTGTCAAATGCAAGACCGCGTAATTGTTTTAAAATACGAATAAGCGAAAATGGCAATAAAAACGGTAGGGAAAATGCGCAAATCATCGTTTGCAATTTAAATAAACGCAATTTTCCAATGGTATTGCAGTAGTTGAAGCAGTCGTACGTTTAACTTGGTTCAGCCAAACTCATCAATATTGTATGCCCGAGCAGCAACAACGACAACAACAACAACAGCAAGAACAGCAGCAGCAATGTTGATGAACATGAAAATAACGAGAAACGAACCCGAACATTGCCAAAGACAAACGGGGAATAAATAATTTAGCTGCCGGATTAGAGAGCCACAATCCGCTTTTGAATTTACACTCAAGTTACTTCCATTAGTGGCATTTGGTAAGCGAGCAAAACTATTGCATATCATTAGGCGCTGCCGTTTCAGGCTGCAGTTGTCAGCCACCGCACGTCGCTTGCATAATCCACGCCCAGACTTATAACACCAACTTGGCAAAGGATTTGGCCAGGATGACAATGACAACGAAAACGGCAACGACAAGAACAACGGGTGGGTGCGTCGACTAGTACAACGCCATGCCACGCTGCCTGTAATTGTGTCCACAAAATGACAAAAAGAAGCACACAACATGATGAAATTTGCCATCGAATTGTGACTCGACTGGGCTATACTCTGCTTAAATTATGTGTAACATATAAGCATATAACCATCTTAGCTTTAAATAAATGCAAATCTTAATCTAAACAGCTACAAAATATATGTAAGCAGCTTAAAGCTCTAGTTGCTATAAACAAATAGTTATAGCGATTCAGCACTTAAATAGTTAATAGACAAAGCAAATAGTTAATTAACAATATATTCTGGCTATACGTTAATCACCAATCAGTCAGACTGACAGACTGACTAGTGAGTCAATTAGGACTAACTTATTTATATATAGAGGTATGTTTACTAAGATTTTTATTTTGTTCCATTCTCATAACTTAATGAAGGGTTTGTTATTACCGTTCTTTTATTATATTAAGTATATCTGAGTTTTTCTTAATATCGATTACAATGGAATTAATTGGATGTGTCAAACGTTTTTTGAATAGTTAGTATTCCCAAAATACTTCAGAGCTCACTGAATTTGAAAAGACAACACTTTTTAAAGACTTTTGGATTTAGAATTTCAGAGTTTTAAGAAAAACTAGCCCACAACTTATTAAGACCTCAAATAGGTTCGTAAAAATGCTTCAGAATATATTATTTATTGAAACGGGAATGTTGAGTTATTAAATAAAGTTTTCTATATTCCAAGACGAAAATCAATTAAAATCCTTTACAAATTTGTCTTGTGCTATACAAAAGTGTAGTTGATTCTAAAACCTGTCAGTCTATCATATTATTATTAAATATCTCCACATGGACCCATTAAACCTGTTTCAAGTTTCGACAGCATAAATTATAAGCACACAAGATTATTTAATAGGGTATAAAGCTTTGAGAGCAAAGCTGTAACACAATACAATAGAATGCAAGAACAAGACAGGAATTTAGGACTAGTGAGTGGGGAAAGGGTTATCAATTCTGTATTCACAGTGCGTTTTGTGTATGCAACGAATGAGAGTCCGTTTGTATGGCTCTTTAGTGTGCGTGTGTGTTGGTCTGTGTGTGTGCGTGGACTGGCGCACTATGCGTGCGTGTTAATGCACGAAACCGTAAAGTCCGACCATTTATTCAAGCTGAATTCGGGCACAAGCCGCTCGTTGCATTTCATGCACACTTTTACACTTACACACATACACATATGAAAAGTTGAAACTGGTGCCGTTCTGTGCTTTGTTCTTAAGCCTGTGTTGACAGCCCATGTGAGTATGTTGGTGTGAGTTCACGTCTGTGTGTGTGGGTACATTTCAAATGCAAATTTGCTGCGCACGGATTTTGGCTGCTGTGTTTTTCTTGTTGTTGCTGCATTTTGGCTGCATTTGCCAGCTCTGGCTTATTTATAAGATTTGCTTTGAAGCAGCGCACTTTGCACATGGTTCAAAGCTGATTCCGCTTGACAAAATGCCCGAGTTGCCAACAGCCGTTGACTGATTGCACTTCTTTTTTTTTTTGCACCCAGGGACCAGCAAAGTGATTTAGACCACATTGTGGTTGGGGCTGAAGAGCAATTTTGTGCTCAGAGATAGCCCAAAGCCGTGAAGCAACTGGCTGCAGTTAATGGAGCTGTGTTTTGTGTTTGATTGACTCAAAACTTTTTTACTTTTTGTAAGTTAAAAAGTCAAAGGAATTCCGCTGAAAATTCTAGCATCAATCAGTTCAAAAATTTGTGCCAATGTCACCTGTCAAATATTTCAGCCAGCAGGTCAAGTCGTTAACAAACTTGTTCGCGTCTTTCCACCAGTCAAAAGCGATGAATTTTCATTTTCTTGATTATCGTTAAAGCTGACGCGAGAGGTGTCAGCCACAGCTGTGCTAATTGATATCTGCTTGGCTGTTCTTGCGGAAAAGTTAAAGTTCATTAAGTTCAACATGGCGTATACGTGTTAATTTGTGAAATGAATTATGAAATGCAATTGCCAAGCATACATATTGTATAACTGCCAGATGTCTTTCAAGTGTCAACATTTGATTATTACTTTTTATTATTTGCTTGCAAACAGTTCGAGATTGTGAGTCTTGTGCTTCGCAGCTTGCCTTATTTGCTTTTGAATATTATTAAGGATTTGAAGCACAGCAACAGCTGTGTCTGCTTTATATATTAATTTAATAAGGATTAAATATGATGATCATTAAAAAGAATATGTGTATCTGTTCTTGCAGACAGTCTTGGAAAATATGAACGAATTTATACTCTGTACTCTGTGGAGTGTAAATAAATTTAACCAAAGCAATGTCAAGCTGAGGTAAATGAAAAAAACGAAGTCTGAGCTTTCTTAAGGGTTAAGCTCTTCGAACTCATAAATAAATTGTTATTAAATACACATAAGACTTTAAGTCACTTAAATTAAAGCTTAAGACATTACACCGCTCACAGAAACGCATCGTTAGATAAAATCTCACAACACGACTGAAACCGTGTTAAATGTCTTGTCATTAACATTAATTAATTCCTATTAAAATGCTTGAAGCTGAAATTCTGACAGCACATAAAGTTTCATGACGCCCAAC